ACAGACTCGTGCTCAAAAGGCCTTGACCCCTAGCTCAAAGCACTGGCAGTTAAAATACGTTTATGTTTTACGTTAGACAAAACATTTAGTATTTGCATGTACTATTTAGATTTTGAATATATAAAATAGTTCTGTGATTCAAAAGTCAGAACTATATAAACAAGAATAGTCAGAGAAGTCTGACTCCTATAACCATCCCTTCCACACCTTTTCCACCCACCTTTCATAGATGACTGTTTTCATTCATTTTTTGATGTATCTCTTCTCTTTTTTAAGTTTACGAAAATTGTCATACATATTCTTCACCTTTTTTATACAGAGGGTAGCGTGCTGTATACGTTATTCTATACCTTTTTTTTCTTAATAGTGTATCTTGGAAATCACTTCATATGAACTCATTTTTTAATCTTTTTTATAACTATAATTCTGTTGTGTAGGTGGATGTACTGTTGTTTAGTCTATCAGTTCCGTATTGATGGACATTTGGATCGTTTTCAATATTTTGTTGTGGCAAATTATGCTGCAGTAAATAATGTGGTACACACAGTGTTTAGTTTTATGGAGGTGTATCTTTAGGAAAGACTCCCGGAAGTGCAACTGCTGGGTAAGATGTAAAACCATAAGTGATTTTGGTTTTGCAAAGTTGATCTCTGTAGAGTTTGTATCATTTTCCTGTTTTACCAGTGATATATGAGAGTAGTTGTTTTTTCACGGCCTCGCAAGTAGTGAGAATATTGTTAAGCTTTTGTATTTTTGAGTGTAGTTTTAGTTTACATTTTTTTACATTATGAGTAAATTTGAACATTTTCCTCCATTTATATAAAATGTCCAGAATGGCAGTCTATAGAAACAAAAAGTACATTTAGTGCCTTAGTAGTTACCCAGGGCTGGGGGAGTGTGAGGAGGTTGGACGAAAATGGGGAGTGATTGCTAATGGGAGGATTCCCCACCTCCCTCCCCAGTGAATTGTCCATGTCTTTTGCTCATTGTTCTGTTGTGTGTGGTGTTTGTTTGTTTGTTTTTGTTTTGTTTTTAGTTTTAAAGGTTTTTTATATATTAGGGAGATTGGTGCTTTGTGGTGTAAGTAGAAGGATTTTCCTCTTGGTTTTTCACTTGTCTTTTGACTTTGCTTATCGTATGTTTTATCTAGCATTTTAAAAAAAATGCAGTTGAATTTATGAACTTTCGAATTAGTGAGAACTTTTTTTTGCTCTGAGATTATTAAGGAATTCACCCACATTTTCTTCAAGTAATTGTATAGTTGTGGCCCCCTATTTTTTTTTTTTTTTGAGATGGAGTTTTGCTCTTGTCGCCCAGGCTGGAGTGCAGTGGCATGATCTTGGCTCACTGCAACCTCCGCCTCCTAGGTTCAGGCGATTCTCCTGCCTCAGCCTCCCAAGTTGCTGGGACTACAGGCGCCCACCACCACGCCTGGCTACTTTTTTGTATTTTTAGTAGAGATAGGGTTTCACCGTGTTAACCAGGATGGTCTGGATCTCCTGACCTCGTGATCTGCCCGCCTTGGCCTCCCAAAGTGTTGGGATTACAGGCATGAGCCACTGCTTCTGGCGGCTTGCTTGTTTTATTAAAAAGTTACAGAAATTTTCAAATATCTTCTTTCAGATAATAGTTGGTGGAGTGGCAAGTACATCACAAGATATGCATACTTATGCTGCCTGCACATTTTTGGCTGCAAGTATGAAAGAAGGGAAGCAAGGAATTCAGAGAAATCAAGAGTCTGTTCAGCTTGGAGCAATTGAGGCCTGCGTGATGTGGCTGCTAGAAAATGAATTCATCCAGAGTACAGAAGCCAGTGATGGAACAGAAGGTAAGTGTGACTTCTCAGTTGCAGTTTACTCACTTTTTCATCTTTAGTGAGGGTGTATGACCGCTCAGTAAATGGAAATTGTCTTTTCATGTAGTATAAAAGGAACTTGATATTTTGAGCAGTGTATCAACTCATTTTTAGTAAATCAGTATTGTATTTAGCAACTTCAGACCATTATTATAGAGCCTGCTCATACATTTTCATGTGCTGGATAAGGTACTATTTGTAAAATTTATCAGCCGGGAGGGTTAGCTTTGGAATACAGAAAGATAGTATTTTGTTTTATTTTGAGTGTTTGTTCCTCTGTTTCCTCACCCTAACCCTAAACCAGGAAAGGTGTATCATCCAACACATCTTGGTTCGGCTACTCTTTCTTCTTCACTTTCTCCAGCTGATACTTTAGATATTTTTGCTGACCTGCAAAGAGCAATGAAGGGCTTTGTTTTAGAGAATGATCTTCATATTCTTTATCTGGTAAGTTCTGTTTTAACGATTATATTTGTGAAAATAGGGAGAAAAAATAGATATATAATTCTGAACATCAATGATACCCTGACAGAACATCTTGTCTGTTTTCCATGCATAGGTTAGTACTCTTTGAGATGGAGTCTCACTCTGTCTCCCAGGCTGGAGTGCAGTGGTGCAATCTCGGCTCACTACAACCTCTGCCTCCCAGGTTCAAGCGATTCTTCTGCCTCAGCCTCCTGAGTAACTGGGACTACAGGCGCGTGCCACCATGCCCAGCTAATTTTTGTATTTTTAGTAGGGGCAGGGTTTCACCATGTTGGCCAGGCTGGTCTTGATCTCTTGACCTCGTGATCCACCCACCTCAGCCTCCCAAAGTGCTGGGATTACAGGCATGAGCCACTGTGCCTGGCTGTTTTGTTTTTTTAATGGTGCCTATCTTTATAATCATTTCTGGGATAAATAGCCAGTGATCATCGAGTTTATAATCCCTTTACTTTATCCTATTTTGATTCTCAGTTTGGCAGTTGGGAAGGATAATCTGTACCTTCTCTTTGCCGGGGGTGGTAAGGATATTCCAGCATTGTGCCAGTTTTATTTTTATTAAGAAAAAAAAAGTATTCTTCATTTGTGTTTTTGAACCTCTTACCTGTTTTCTTTCCCACAGTATTGGATTCATTTTTGAAGAAAAATTATGATTCTCTCTAGTCATAGTTGTTGCAATGATAGTTTGTTCAAATCGTATAGTTGTATACAGCTTTAACATATAAGTGCTCTCATGTATTTTTGTTCATTTGGTTGTCACAATAAAGCATTTAGATTAGTAAATGTTGTAATATTTCCTAATTTTGGGTATCTACAAGTATTTTGGGTATCTACAAGTATTTTTGAATTTATTTTATCATATAACTGGTAACAATTTACATTTGCATTTTACTTTATAGGTTTGAAAGTACCTCTATTAATTACTTCATTATTCAATAATAATGGTTAATTCTGTAGAGGAAGAAAAAGACTTTTCCTTTACTTTCTTGGGTTCTGCAGTTGGGACCTGCTGATTACATTAACAGACAGATTAACAGGAGACAAGGCATTTAAACTTTATTTGATGCTAATCTTTTAATTTTTATGTACATGGAAGCCTTTATAGAAAAGGATTGAAGACCTGAGAAACTGTTAAACCTGGGGTCTTATATAACATTTTAACAATGGACAGTAAATTGTGGAGAAGTGACAAGAAAAAGGAAAAGGTATCTGGGCTTTTAGGGGCAACAAATAGTGAGAAGGTAAATATGTGGGGGAAACTGATGGAAGATAGAAGTTATTTTAGTAGGTAGAGTTTGTTTGTGCAGACGCATCTCAGTGCTGATCTGTCTCCAGTGATAAGTAAGGGTTGTTGTGTTGTATGGGAGAGGGGAGGGAAAACATCATCACAAAGGGAAAAATTTATTCTTGCTTTTAGGCAGGTAGGGAGAGGACAGAGGACAAAGAGTTCTTTCTGTGTTTGCTGCCTCCCAAAGGCCTTCAGCTCATAATCCTTATGCTAGAGTGGCATAGTTTGGAGTAGCATATTCTGATCTCCTTGTGTCCAGAGTTCAAAAAAATAGCCATAATTTTATTACCATAACAACCACTATCATCTCTTGTCTCCTTTTAAGCAAAGTAAATCAACTTAAAATCTCTTTAGCAGATATCTTATGGAACTATATTGGGATTTTGCAAATGCATATCTTTTGGTTATAGGCGAGAGTATCTTAATTTGTAAGAACTCTGAGAAATCAAAAGGGATAGCTCTCCTTCAGGGTTCTCTAAAGCCTGTTCGCAGCTGTCTGCAAAGACGAGAAGGAGAAGAAGTAACGGCCAGCATGATACGAGCTATTCTGGAGGTAAGAGAGAGTTTGCTAAATTACTATTTGCTCTTTTATGCCTAAATTAAAGTGGTAAAATATTAGTATATGAAACTCTTAGGTTTATTTCTTTTTTAAATTTATTTTTGGGACAGAGTCTCACGCTGTCATCCAGGCTGGAGTGCAATGGCATGATCTCAGCTCACTGCAACCTCCGCCTTCTGGGTTCAAGAAATTCTCCTGCCCCAGCCTCCCAAGTAGCTGGGATTACAGGCACACACCACCATCCCCGGCTAATTTTTGTACTTTTAATAGAGACGGGATTTCACCATGTTGCCCAGGCTGGTCTTGAACCAGCCTTCAGGTGATCTGCCCACCTTGGCCTCCCAAAGTGCTGGGATTACAGGTGTGAGCCACTGTGCCTGGTGCTTTATGTTTTTTTTTTTTGTTTTTTTTTTTTTTGAGATGGAGTCTCGCTCTGTTGTCAGGCTGGAGTGCAGTGGTGCCATCTCAGCTCACTGCAACCTCTGGCTCCTGGGTTCAAGGGATTCTCGTGCCTCAGCCTCCTGAGTAGCTGGGACTACAGGTGCCTGCCACCACACCCAGCTAATTTTTGTATTTTTAGTAGAGGCGGGGTTTCGCCATGTTGGCCAGGATGGTCTCAATCTCCTGACCTTCTGATCTGCCCACCTTGGCCTCCCAAAGTGCTGGGATTACAGGCGTGAACCACCATGCCTGGCCCATTTGTTTTTCTTTATAAGAAAATATTTTATCTACTTTAAGGAGAACTTTTCTGTTGTCATCAGGTGTTATCAACAGTTACAGTGAGTGGTGATGAGAAAGTTAATAAAGAATCTCTACATTAAGATTCTAAGAACATTTTAAAAAATGAGAATGAAATAGCTTTCTTTATTTTATATTCAGAGGGCTTGCATGTTTTGTTTTATTTATTTATTTATTTCTTTGAGATGGAGTCTCACTCTGTCTCCCAGGCTGGAGTGCAGTGGTGCAATCTCAGCTCACTGCAAGCTCCGCCTCCTGGGTTCACGCCATTCTCCTGCCTCAGCCTCCCAAGTTGCTGGGACTACAGGCGCCCACCACCACGCCTGGCTACTTTTTTGTATTTTTAGTAGAGATAGGGTTTCACCGTGTTAACCAGGATGGTCTGGATCTCCTGACCTCGTGATCTGCCCGCCTTGGCCTCCCAAAGTGTTGGGATTACAGGCATGAGCCACTGCTTCTGGCGGCTTGCTTGTTTTATTAAAAAGTTACAGAAATTTTCAAATATCTTCTTTCAGATAATAGTTGGTGGAGTGGCAAGTACATCACAAGATATGCATACTTATGCTGCCTGCACATTTTTGGCTGCAAGTATGAAAGAAGGGAAGCAAGGAATTCAGAGAAATCAAGAGTCTGTTCAGCTTGGAGCAATTGAGGCCTGCGTGATGTGGCTGCTAGAAAATGAATTCATCCAGAGTACAGAAGCCAGTGATGGAACAGAAGGTAAGTGTGACTTCTCAGTTGCAGTTTACTCACTTTTTCATCTTTAGTGAGGGTGTATGACCGCTCAGTAAATGGAAATTGTCTTTTCATGTAGTATAAAAGGAACTTGATATTTTGAGCAGTGTATCAACTCATTTTTAGTAAATCAGTATTGTATTTAGCAACTTCAGACCATTATTATAGAGCCTGCTCATACATTTTCATGTGCTGGATAAGGTACTATTTGTAAAATTTATCAGCCGGGAGGGTTAGCTTTGGAATACAGAAAGATAGTATTTTGTTTTATTTTGAGTGTTTGTTCCTCTGTTTCCTCACCCTAACCCTAAACCAGGAAAGGTGTATCATCCAACACATCTTGGTTCGGCTACTCTTTCTTCTTCACTTTCTCCAGCTGATACTTTAGATATTTTTGCTGACCTGCAAAGAGCAATGAAGGGCTTTGTTTTAGAGAATGATCTTCATATTCTTTATCTGGTAAGTTCTGTTTTAACGATTATATTTGTGAAAATAGGGAGAAAAAATAGATATATAATTCTGAACATCAATGATACCCTGACAGAACATCTTGTCTGTTTTCCATGCATAGGTTAGTACTTGTGAGCATAGAGAAAAGGTAAGAAGAGAATTGTTTTAAAGTAATAATCTAAATTGTTCTAGTTACTTTTAAATTTATTTTCTCCAGCCTCCTTTCAAAAAATATTTGAGTTGGTTTATAAAAAATATATATTTTACAATGTATAAAAGAACAGCAAAGGAAAATGTAATATCAGAAAATTAAAGATAAGATCGTGATGTAAAACTCAAGTAAAGGTCAGTACACAAATATGCATGCCATTAAGTCATGTCCAATGCTGTTGTCAACTTTGATTCTGGGTTTTCTAGCAACTAAAAGAAAGAGGGAAGCTTGATTAGTGTTAATATTCATAAGATAAAAGACAAACCAAGTTTAGGAAAAACATTGCATTTCCCTGCCTAAGAGAAATTTAGTCCCAAAAGGATACTTTGGAACTTAACATTGTTGATAAAAATCTCTATAATAAATGCCATAAGGAATTTTAAAAGTTTGTTTACATTAGACAGTGCTCTGTGAATATTGTTTTGTATAACAAAGATATTAATAAGAATTGGATAGTGTTGGTCATATTCTCTGGCAAGAACCTGATCAGAAAGAATTAATTTTGTCAGTTAAGAGCAGATGCATGCATTTTGATAAGCAAGTGATAGGGGGAGGTGAGTAAAATTGAAAGTCTCATTAGAATGAAGGGGGCTGATCAGGAAATGTGTTTCAATAAAAAACACTATGTAGTGAGCAGAGCGGAAATATCTAGACAGTGCCAATTTTCTTTTCTTACAAACTCGCATAATGCATGATAGGTTCAAAGGTCTGTGCCCAAGAATGTGACTGGGAGGAATCTCAAAGCAGGTTTCACCGGTCATCTATCATGGCCTTAAAAATAAGTCTCATTTATTATACAGTGGCTAAGATTGTGGGCTTTAGGGTCAGACTGCCTTAGTTCAACTTTTGGCCTCATCACTTAGTAATCGTACAACCTTGGGTAAGTACTTAACCTCTCTTAAGATTTCATTTCCTCATTTGTAAAATGGAGATAATAATTCCCATCTCAGGGCTGATAGTCTTTGATGAATATTTGGTATCTGAATAAATATTTAATAACATTATCTATTATTTCTAGTAAATTCTCCCATAAACATTATGTAAGTCATTTGCCAAATTACCTAACTATTCCTACTCCTGTTCCCTCTCTAAAATATGAAGACTGTTGGCAGTGTTATTATGCTGAATGTTTGTGGTTAGTGGTCTTGTGTACTTGTCTCACCATTCGAGTTGCATGCCCTTCAAGAGTTAGTTGTGTTCCCAAACTTGTTCATGTCAGTTTGCTTCTGAGAAAATTAGGCTGAGGCAGAAGGATCACCTGAGGCCAGGAATTTGAGACCAGCATGGGCAACAGAGCAAGAATCTGTTGCTACCAAAAAAAAAAAAAAATTAAAGATTAGTTGTGTGTGGTGGTGCATGCTGGTAATTCCAGCTACTTACAAGGCTGAGACAGGAGAATCACTCGAACCCAGGAGTTCTAGGTTATAGTGAGCTATGATCGCACCACCATGCTCCAGCCTTGGTGACAGCAAGAAACCTCGTCTCTTAAAAACAAACAAAAAAATATAAGTGAGATAACTGAAAGCTCTGAGAAAAAGTTACAGGAATTTAGACAGGGGAAAAACCAAAAGGACACTGCTGAAAGTTTATTTTGCAATGATCTTTAATTTCTAATTTTTTTTTTTTTTTTTTTTTTTAGTAGAGTCTCACTCTGTTGCCCAGGCTGGAGTGCAGTGGCACAGTCTTGGCTCATTGCAACCTCTGCCTCCCAGGTTCAAGCGATTCTTCTGCCTTAGCCTCCTGAGTAGCTGGGACTACAGGTGCATGCCACCACACCTGGCTAATTTTTGTATTTTTAGTAGAGACAGGGTTTTACCTTGTTGGCCAGGCTGGTCTTGAAGTCCTGACCTCAAGTGATCCACCGTCCTTGTCCTCCCAAAGTGCTGGGATTACAAGTGTGAGCCATCGCACCCGGCCAGCAATTATCTTTAATTTCTAACTTCACGTTACAGAACAAAAACTGGATTTCTTAAACAATGTATTGTGGTTATGGTTTAAGAAAGCCATGGTAAATTCTAATCTACAGACTCGTGCTCAAAAGGCCTTGACCCCTAGCTCAAAGCACTGGCAGTTAAAATACGTTTATGTTTTACGTTAGACAAAACATTTAGTATTTGCATGTACTATTTAGATTTTGAATATATAAAATAGTTCTGTGATTCAAAAGTCAGAACTATATAAACAAGAATAGTCAGAGAAGTCTGACTCCTATAACCATCCCTTCCACACCTTTTCCACCCACCTTTCATAGATGACTGTTTTCATTCATTTTTTGATGTATCTCTTCTCTTTTTTAAGTTTACGAAAATTGTCATACATATTCTTCACCTTTTTTATACAGAGGGTAGCGTGCTGTATACGTTATTCTATACCTTTTTTTTCTTAATAGTGTATCTTGGAAATCACTTCATATGAACTCATTTTTTAATCTTTTTTATAACTATAATTCTGTTGTGTAGGTGGATGTACTGTTGTTTAGTCTATCAGTTCCGTATTGATGGACATTTGGATCGTTTTCAATATTTTGTTGTGGCAAATTATGCTGCAGTAAATAATGTGGTACACACAGTGTTTAGTTTTATGGAGGTGTATCTTTAGGAAAGACTCCCGGAAGTGCAACTGCTGGGTAAGATGTAAAACCATAAGTGATTTTGGTTTTGCAAAGTTGATCTCTGTAGAGTTTGTATCATTTTCCTGTTTTACCAGTGATATATGAGAGTAGTTGTTTTTTCACGGCCTCGCAAGTAGTGAGAATATTGTTAAGCTTTTGTATTTTTGAGTGTAGTTTTAGTTTACATTTTTTTACATTATGAGTAAATTTGAACATTTTCCTCCATTTATATAAAATGTCCAGAATGGCAGTCTATAGAAACAAAAAGTACATTTAGTGCCTTAGTAGTTACCCAGGGCTGGGGGAGTGTGAGGAGGTTGGACGAAAATGGGGAGTGATTGCTAATGGGAGGATTCCCCACCTCCCTCCCCAGTGAATTGTCCATGTCTTTTGCTCATTGTTCTGTTGTGTGTGGTGTTTGTTTGTTTGTTTTTGTTTTGTTTTTAGTTTTAAAGGTTTTTTATATATTAGGGAGATTGGTGCTTTGTGGTGTAAGTAGAAGGATTTTCCTCTTGGTTTTTCACTTGTCTTTTGACTTTGCTTATCGTATGTTTTATCTAGCATTTTAAAAAAAATGCAGTTGAATTTATGAACTTTCGAATTAGTGAGAACTTTTTTTTGCTCTGAGATTATTAAGGAATTCACCCACATTTTCTTCAAGTAATTGTATAGTTGTGGCCCCCTATTTTTTTTTTTTTTTTGAGATGGAGTTTTGCTCTTGTCGCCCAGGCTGGAGTGCAAGGTGCAATCTTGGCTCACCGCAACCTCCTCCTCCTGGGTTCAAGCGATTCTCTTGCCTCAACCTCCTGAGTAGCTGGGATTACAGGCATGCACCATCATGCCTGGCTAATTTCGTATTTTTTTTTTAGTAGAGATGGGGTTTCTCCATGTTGGTCAGGCTGGTCTTGAACTTCCAACCTCAGGTGATCCACCTGCCTCGGCCTCCCAAAGTGCTGGGATTACAGGTGTGAGCCACTGTGCCTGACCTTCCCCTATTTTGAGCTCTGCTTCATTTGGAGTGTATTCTAGCATATGGTTCTTCAGTTTCATGTTTTTTTCATAATGGCTATCTGTAATCTCAGCATCATTTATTAAAAAATTAATTTATGTAATGACTCAAGATGGCAACTTTATCTTCTGTATTTCCATTTGTATTTGGGTACATTTCTAATTCCATTTGTCATTGTGTATATTTCTGTTTCACTTCTTGGTCTGACAAAAGACCAGTTTGACTGATTTTTGTGCCAGTGCCTCTGTTTTAATTAAAAACTTTCTGGTAGGGCAAGTTTCCCTTCATTGCTCTGCTTTTTCAGTGTTCATAGCTATTCTTTTTGGCTTACTGTATTAGTCCATTCTCACATTGCTGTAAAGAAATTATGGAGACTGGATAATTTATAAAGAAAAGAAGTTTAATTGGCTCATGATTCTGCAGGCTGTACAGGAAGCACAGTGGCTTCTACTTCTGGGAGGCCTCAGAAAGCTTCCAATCATGGCAGAAAGTAAAGGGGAAATAGGCACATCTTATATGGCCAGAGCAAGAGAAAGAGAGTGAGAGAGAGGTGGGAGGTGCCACTCACTTTTAAACAACCAGATCTCACAAGAACTCACTGTTGCAATGACAGCACCAAGGGGGATGGTGTTAAACCATAAGAAACGGTCTTCATGATCCAATCACCTGCTACCAGGCCCCATCTCCAGCATTGAAGATTACATTTCAACATCAAATTCGGTGGGGACACATATCTAAACTATATAAACCCACCCTGCCCCTAAATCTCATGACCTTCTCATATTCCAAGATACAACCATCCCTTCCCAACAGTCCCCCAAAGTCTTAACTCATTGCATCATTAACTCAAAAGTCCAAAGTCTCATCTGAAAGAAGGCTAGTGCTTTTCACCCATGAGGCTGTGAAATAACAAAAGCTAAGTTAGTTACTCCCAAGATGCAATAGGGGTATAGGCATTGGATAAATACTTCCATTCCAAAAGAGAGTATCTGACTTGGTTAGGTTGTATAATCCTTTTTATGTTGCTGGATTTGGTTTGCTAGTATTTTATTTGGTTTGCTAGTATTTTCGTCATAAGATACATTGACCTGTAGTTCTCTTTTCTCGTGATGTCTTTGTGTGGTTTTGGAGTAATATTAACTGCACAGTATGAGTTAGGATATATTTCTTCCTCTTCT